TGACTTTGTAGTATGCTCTGCTGCGGACCCCGAGGAGTCAGCATTAGCTCTTAGGTGGCATGTTGCCCTAGAGAGCAAATGATGGAGCCTGTTCTTCTGAAAATTGAGAGAACAAGGAATTTGAATTAACAGATTTGATGATGGTTGTATTGAGATATGACTGAGAAAACAAATGCCTGAATGAAAAGATGGCGGTACACTCTTATGTATAGCATTTAGGGCAGTTTCCTGCACACGGAAAACTCAACATTCATTTCCCCTATCTGCCTGCTTCCAGCGTAAATTTGCCTCATCTCCTGCCCAGGTCTGATTGCAGTTTGCCAGGCTCTGAGGTTTCCTGGCTAGTAGGGCTGTGGAAGGTGCTTGAAACTTGAACTTTCTGCCAGCAGAGGAGGAAACCAAGTTGGACTTCCTACATCTTGGCCACATTTTGTCACTGCTAGGGCATTGGGTGAAAGAGGAATGTCACTATATCCCAAGTCAGCTGTGTTTCAGAGGGAAGGGTGGTAGCTGTCTGCTTTTCAGTAGAAAGATCTTCAAGTGGACAGTTCACAAAGATGTTGTAAGGTGTGTGAGCTCTGAGAGAAAGGTGGACTCCTGCAGGAGAAGCAAGATACACTCCTGAAAGTGGCCATTTAGATGGCAATTTAGATAGCATGGAGCTCAGTGTGAGGCTTGCTGTGAACACCACTTGGATGTACTGACTGTCTCTGTGGAGCTACAGTAAGCTTTGAGAGCCTCATTCACAGTGATGGATGGCAGTGGTGAAAATTGGTGAGTATCTGTGATGCTCTGTGTTGCTAGAAATAAGTCTTTTTGAAAAGCTGATCCTTGGCTTCATTAAGTTAAGCTGAACACTTCTGAGGGACTCATCAGGGCTGCAAAACTGCAGTGTTTTGAATACCTGGTATTAAATGGGAGGAGAATTTTGAATCCAAGAGACCCAGAAGTTCCCTTAAGCAGAAGAACCCAATGTTGTTTGTTTTGTTTGTAAGAAGTATTCATGGAAGATCCTATGAATGTAAGGCTGTGGAATGGATGGCTAAGGCCTTGTATTAAAATCCATTTTTTTTGTGGCCATACTGGGGTCTTGCAAAAAGCCTGCTGGCATTTAATTTATGTGAGTTTTCAGTTATCTTAGAAAAAGGGCAGGTAACACTCTCCAGAATAACCTTCCTCAGTTTTTTCCCTGTCACTCCATTGTAACCTTGACGGTTACAGTCTTGCTTGAGTAACACGAGGGATAATTTGCATCAGAGTCCCTGCTCCTGTTAGTTCTCAGGTCTTTGCCTTTGATGGTTTATTTTCTGACTTTCTTTGTTTGTAAAGGAAGCTGAATGTATGAGCTAAGGGCTTATATTTGATAAAATGTGCTGTTAGAGTGCTAGAGAAATCAGGACCTATAGTTTATTCAAGTGTAGCAATTCCTGAAATTCCTAATAAATCAGGATATGGTTAGCCTTTTGCGAGTGGTTCTTGCCTGTAGGATCCATTCGTGTCTGAGTCTGTAGCTTTTAATTTGCCTGAGGAGCTCTGAATTCATAAGGATTTTATTTGGCTTCTGCAAAGGAAGTTTCATTTATGGTCGTTTTCCTCCACTGAAGGAAATGCAAAGCTATTACCTGTAAGCGTGCAGAGGTGAGTGGCTGGGCTTTGCTTCTATCAGCTGTGCTGGTGGTAAACCTTCCAGAGGACAAGGCAATGAATAGAAAACCTAAGCTTTAATTGACAGGCTCAGACATGAAAAGAGAGACCTGTTTGATGCATTTCTCATTACTAGGCCAACAGAAGGTCAGGCTAATTAGTTCTCTTGATAACTTGCTTACTTCACTGTGGGAAAACTTGAATGTGTCTGAACAAAACTGGTTTGCAATTCAGCAGAGAATTACCTTCCAAAATCATTAAAGAAACATTAAGAAAATCACAAGTGTAATGCACCTGAGCAGATTACAAGGTTCTGTTAAAATGGTGCATATTTAAAATTAGATATAATTTCTGCCTTCATTTAATGCCCCTTCATCTCTTTAATGAGGACTCTTGTGAATTGTATAAAGGGGGAGTGGAAATTGTCCCAGGACAGCACTGTTTTACCAGTTGTTGTCTGGATCTAAGGTCAGATCTGAGGCTGATAGTACTTTATCTAGTTTGAGTCCAGTGAGTCTGTGCCCTGCACTGAGGCTGGTTTTGCCTCTTACGTTTGTCAATGTGTATCATAATTATTTAAGGTTAATGTGGTTTTGGCAAGGGAAAGTTAGTCACATTAATGTATTGCAGTGTTTTACCTAAGAGTGAAGGATGTGAAGGATGTTTACAGCTCCCTTGGGAGAGCAAGTCTAGGGAAAACAAGAAGTTGGAATCCAGATCTCCTGAAACACAGAGTAGTTCCCCAGCAGCGCAACTACTTTGCGTGTTGATACATCTAGTCCAAAAAGCAGACTTTCAGCACTATGGGTTTAGCTGCTTTGTGCAGTGGAGGAATAAGCCTCTAGGGGTGTACTTGAATGCTTTCTGAGAACAGTGTCAGAGATAACTGTCTTCTGAAGTGATTACTTTTTTCCTTAAACGTGCTCTGTGGTTCACATCAAAAGGGGATACAGATTTTGATAGTAGAAGTAATGTACAGGTGAACTAATTATAAACAATGGGAAGTAGTTTAGTGCATGTTTTTCTGTTGGCTTTCTCTTGCAAAAAGGGCCCAGTTTTAGCAGAATACAGCAAAATTTGGCTTAAACACAGGGGTTAAGATTTTTTTTGAGAGTCCGAGTATGATTAATATACTAAATTGTGTCTACTTTTGTCTTTCTTAAAGTGTGTTTAAGTCCTAAATATCAACTCTTTAATGTCAGTTTTGCGTTTAACTTCCCCTTTGAGAGAGAAGGGGAAAAACCGTTTTCATTTTTGTTTGTTTCTGTAGTTAATCCTTCTCTCCTTAATGCCTTCTTCTGTGGTCTATTCCCTGCTGGCTCCTTCTGTTTTGCCTTGATGTCTAGGCTAGGATCATGCATAAACAACACCTGATGGTGTCAGTGGGACCACTGCATACATGAGTGTCCTCACAGTAGTGCCCTGCCAGCAGTAATGACATTCCAGCCCAAGTTTGACATTGATACCTGTTCCAAAGGCAGAGAGGAACTTTATCACATGCTTGTGTTGAAAAACACATGCATATGATTTTAAAGGGTTTTTCTTTCTTTTTTTTTAACATGTCTGAAAGGCAGCCCACCCCACACTGCTGCTTTAATTCTTCAGTATGAAGCCATATATATGTGTGTATCTGTACAAATTGTGTGTATATAAGAAAAAACCCAGAACTGTGAGCATCCTACTTTTTCATGTTTAATATTTACATTAGTCAGTTGCTAAAATGAATCTGGTGCATAATTTATTTTGATGTGTCTGTTACTGTTTTGACTTTCCAGACAGATCTAAAGAAGTCATTTAAGAACCTTTTTACTTGAGACCTCAGACACTCTTTCTGTAGCTGTTGTCAAGATAAATGGAAATCGGTTTCCATGTGCCATAAACACATAGTCCAGTGAAAAAAAATCTTCTTTCTTTTTTGCTCTGGAGTGTACAGTTCATTCTTCTTTTCCCACAGAGCTACATAAGAGAGATGATCTGGTTGCCGTTCAAATACTGATGTCACTTCATGCAGGTTTACTGTGTGGCTTGTCATAATTAGAGACCATATGTAATGGTGCCTTTCCCCACATTTGGATTTGTGTTAATAGATGGCAGCTGCTCTTTCCATTACTGAAATAATCACCAACACTTTTGATTCTGGTATTAGTATGGATGAACTCATGTTACTGGTCATAATGCTTATTACTGTGAGTGTTCCCCTTGGCTCTGTGTGACAAAAACTGTGTGTAAGTGAAGTCTGTTTGAGCTGTATTTTGACACCTTAATGAACTTTGGTTTAAACTGAAGTCCTCCTGGAAACCTACTGTTAAAAATTCAGGATTTGGGGTTTGTGGTATATACGAAGTCAAGGACTGATCTGGACAGAACGAGTTTTGCTGTGTAAGTGGTGAATAAGGAGTCACCCTGATCTGCAGCTAAGACCAGCAATGTTTTTACTACTTGGCACCTTTGTTCTTCCTTACATAAGCATCTTAATAAAAGAGGAAATGTACTCTAATATTGGAATTGAGAAAGAAGTTTTATTTGTTATATTTGCAGTAATATATGGGTGGTAGCTGTACTGCTGGAGGTGGACTCAAGTGGAAGTCATACTAATACTCTGTTTTCATGGCCTCATTGTGTAAATACTTAAGTTCTTCCTTGTCATGTAGGTCCATGGGTATAGTGCACACAGATTGATGAGCATCATGATAAAATCAGGGGTCTGGCTACAATGTGTAAGTCATCTCTGGATGGATTGTTCTATAACACTAGCAAGTGCTTTGAAGTCTTTTTGAAGCAGGCTAGTTTTAAATTAGGACATTTAGCAACAACCTGCTTCCTATTTTACTTTGGATCAATGCTTTGAAGCTGCTGTTCCGCAGCAACAGGCTGTAGATGTTTGGGTGGGTGAGGAATCGGGACCCTATGAGACTTGCATGCCAGTGCACTGGAAATGCAAAGATCGAATGGGAGCCGTGAGCCCTGACCTTAACATAGCACTGTCTGACCTAGCAGGCTGCCCTTTGCTAAACCTTGAAGTGCACAGTTTACAGTTGATACTAATCACATACCAGTATTGAACACAAATGCAGTTTCTGCTCATGCAAGAGCAGTGAGGTGTGGGCCTGTGTGAGTGAACAGAAGGAGGCAGAGATGGCAGCTCTTGTGGAGCAGGATTCAAAATACAAAGTGTTCTACATTTATCTGGGAGAAGAGAGAACTGAAGCCATTAAGTTACAATTGCTTGACTCTCTGTCTCTGAACCACAGAAACAGTATGCATATTTTAATAACGTTGTGGTATGAGTAAGGACATCATTGTGCACAATTCTTTTGCTGACTCTAGTAATAAAGCATTCTGCCCTTTATTTATAGGACTGCCTCAAGGATCTGACAGGAGGAATTGAGTATGCTGCCAAGATATTAAATGAAATTCCCCAGAAAGACATTCAGTGCACTAAAAGAGCCTCAAAGGCAGAAAGGGAAGGAAATGGGCAAGGTAAGTCATACATAATGATCTCAGTTGGCGTCCATTGATCTCATCCAACATCCTTTGAGAGTAGAATATCCATAAAAGTCTTTTAGATTCACTTGGATATTGTGGGTAGTGTTTGCGCTTACAGACATGCACTGTGCAGCAATAGGTGAACTGTGACAAGCCATTTGTTTATGACCCATCTAATTAAAAAATAAAAATAAAATTGTTGGCTCAGTCCCTTGCTGTTAATCTGAAAAGTCAGCTAAGGAATGCAGATTTTATCCAGAATATCATCATTCTCTCTGCAGTTTACATTTGTTTTCCCTGAAGGAGAAACATCGGTAAGGAACTGTACTAGAAGAGATGAAAGGTCCCTTGAGCCTGTGCTTTGTCTCCAGTGCAGGGCAGTGATAGATACGTGGGTTGAAGATAGGAACAGGGCAAGCACATAGAGATGTTCTTCAGAACTGTGTTTCTTAGCTGTCTGTGGCTTGAAACCTTTCTGAACCACGTGGATTTATCTACTTGGGTTTTGAACTTACGAGTTCCCACTCACAATGAACTATGTGCACCCATATGGCCTTGTACAGGATGTTCCAAAGGTAAATTATATGTGAATTTCTATTTCTGTGTTGTGTTTAGCGCTTCCCCTGAGTTTCACTTGATGCTCCCTAGCTCTTCCATAGGTGCTGACTGAAGGGTCACATTTATGCTTCATGTGACTTCAAATTTCCCACCCTCCATCTCCTTTCCTACTGGAGAAATTCTCATCTACTTAAGTTGTTCCTCATAGCCGAAGTTGTTCTGTTCATGTATCTATCCTACCTGCTCAAGAAGCTTTTGTGGTAAAAGGAAAATGGGTGTTTGGGGGGAGAGCTGTCTGTAGTTCAGTTTTGTAACATCCCTGGCCTGAAAACGTAGGTCTTGAGATGAGAAAACTCTTGTTTTTCCCCATACCCAGTCCAGAAGTTCTGTGTTTCAGGTGGCTATGTAAAGCAAAAGGTATTGGTATCTATGGATCTTTGACAAACATTTTATCTTTTGGGAAATTGTATTGTGATCAAAGGAACTGTTTTTGATGTGAGGAAAACACTAATAAGTTTTGAAGATCTTGAACACTTCTAGTGTTCAGGTTAATGTTCGAGTGTTCCTGTGTTCAAGGTGAGGTTGGACAGGGCTTGGAGCAACCTGGTCTAGTGGGAGGTGTCCCTACCCCATTGCAGAGGGTTGGAACTGGATGAGCTTTAATGTTCCTTCCAACCCAAACTAGTCTGGGATTCTATGAAGTTCTGTAAAAGCTCGGCGCATGGGATTTGTTCTTGGTTTTGGTCTCCTCTGTGGGAGGGAACATGTTTCAGAGCTGAGTTTGCACTTTCACTGTAATGCTTGAACAGCTTCTTCGAGAAGGTCTGATAGTAAGCACAGATTCTTCACGAAGGATCAGTAAGAAGTACATCTGTGTTCCCAAAATGCACTTAACACTTTATGTCAACATTTTCCTGCAATACAGGAAGGTGATGCAATTATTTCTTAATATTGCAAATAGCTTCTAACTCATATCCAGAGAAAATGGAACACTGCTGTGTCTGTGGCTCCGTGAGTGAAGACACAGGACCTGATCAGAAAATACGTAATCACTGTCAGCTCAGAAACTTTCTGTACAGCTAGCTTGCAGTTTACTGTGTTACACATTGTTTACTGTACAGACTGTCAGTAGTCTTGCGCACAAATACAGTTTTCTAACTGAGAAGGATGAAAGCATTTAAACATGATTTGTGGTTTGTTTCTTTTTTTTTTTTGAGCTGATGGTTCTGGTGTTGATGTGATGCAATCAACTAAGGTATCAAACCCAAAAGTGATCATGAAACAAGAACCACCTAAATCTTTTGGGTAGGTGGTGGTTCTGTGTACCAATATTATATTGTGAATTACATTTCTAATCCTTCTGTTTCCTCTTGCAGCAGAAACAGAAAGGAATTTTAGTTTTACTGTGTTCCTAAAAACACAGTGCTAGTGCATTACTATCTTTATTTAAATGATACTGAGGAAGTGCTGGAAGCTGTACGAACTGTATAAGAAATACTGAGGTTATAGTGTCTGAAATGTGCCAGTCTCCTTAATTTTGCTGTAATCACTGATTTGGGTGACTGGCAGAGGGTGTAATACCTCTTACTATTTTGTTTTCCTTTGTTAAATCAACCATTTAACTCTATTCTCCAGTTTATATAAGGTAGTTCATTACATGCTTTGTATACAAAGACACTAGATAGCGTAAGACAGGCAGATGTAAGCTTCATGTTTGCATCTCACAGATTTTCACTGGGGTTTTCTGGTATGCTCAGATTGCTGTGGGGTATAGTAACAAACAGAACATTCTCATTGTGACAGTCCATGTCCTTTCCAATAGGAATGTTACCTGCATGGTACAGGTGTGGTGAGTGATGCTATTGCTGAAAAACTGGAATTTGTCTGTCCATTTCAGTTAAAACCTTAAATCCACAACCAAGAGGGACAGCACTGTGGCTAAGGATTGTAATAGTCCACATTGACACTCCACTGGCACAGAATTATGCTCCTGCCGTATGGGTTGGTCTCATATGTAAATATCATTCATGTTTTCCCCCAAAAGGAAAAGAATGTAGCGATGCCATGTAACATGCTTTGCACACAGATCTGTATAGACTTGTTAAAAAGAGTCTAAAGCTGGTAAGAGGCTTAACACAGAGTTTTGTTCACCACTGAAGTGCAGGAAATACAGCAGGCATACTGTACCCAAAATTAAACTGGTTTGGGGATCTTTATTCTTACAATTGAAACAACTCTGACTGCTTTGGAAAAGCAGTGAGTTATGGCCTGGTTTTGGACTTGGGCTCAAACACCTGTGTGACACTAAATGAAAAAATCTCTCCAAGTTTGATAAGCAAAAGATGTCAGTGTTTAAATAAAAACCCACTTTGAACCCGAGCAAATTCTTCCCCCTGCTCCATGACATTTCTAATAGAGTTTTTATTGATTGCAGAAGGAGCTTTAAATACTGTCTCTTCCAGCATTGGACCTCTTCCCTAAACAGCTGCACCTAAATTCTAGCAGATGTTTCTCTATTTTAGGCTTTTTGAAACCTCTGAGGATTATTTCCATTTAAGTACATTAGGACCAAATGGTGAATTACTGAAAGTCAAGAAACTTCACTTGTATCATAAAAGTGCTTTCTAATAAACAGAATAGGCTATATCAAGGCCTTTATTATTGTCTTCTGGATCAAATTGCTACAAATTAGTCCATATTTAGTCCAGTAAAACACTTGTGATTACTTTGTATTGAATAGGAACTGTGACGAAGTAATGTGGCAGTTGAATGAGCTGATGAATTAAAAAGGAGAATCTTCTACAGCTGGGAACCTCTTTGATGTGTCATTTATTATTTCTGTGCTTCGCCATGTGCTGGTGACTTCCTTACAGTCTGCCTGTGTGTGTGTATGTGCTCTAGGACTCTCAGTTTTGCTCCTGATGTTCAGAGGATAGGGACCCAAAGCCACCAACCCAAAACCCATCTTTGGACACTGGACTGGGTAAAATAAGAAACTAAACTGGCAGGCAATTGGAGAGCGGCCATGGCAGAGACAGTAAGGGATTTTAAGATCCTCAGCTGGTAATTTCTGCTTGGATAGGTTTTCCTACTTCTGTCATCTAAATTAGAACATTTCCTTTAAATTTATAAAGTCAGTGCGCGACCTGTCTCACAGAATAAACAAATTCATTTTCATCATCTGTAGGTGTTAATCCCTGTCACACTAATTCAGAATTCCTAATGAGTTTTTAGCCATCATTTTTGGAGCAAAGCCAGTTAGAGGGATGTATTTTAAATTGAGGTAATGTTAGGAAGGATATTTATGTGGATAAAAAGCTGTAGCAGTAGCAGAAAAGTCTATTTTTAGTATAATTTTTAGACCAAAGTCTTGAAAAAAAACTGTGCCAACTTCCAAGTATTGTTGTAGCTGAAAGAATAAGAGAATTGCAACTTTTTCCAATCTTGAGCATCGTCATGATTTAATGTTTTTTAAAATGCAAGCTAGCACCTGAAATCCATTTTCATACCTTCACATTGTGGCTTTTCTGGTTAATGGTTTTTTCCACCCCACATCACCTTAGTTTGTTCTGTTAAACAGAGATGTCATTTCCTTCTCACAGGGTTTTGATGTTGAAAATAGTGACTGCTACAGAAAGAAGTTGTTATTTTATTTTTTTTTCTAGCAGAAGAGGCTGTCAGTTGACTGAAGAACTTCTGTATTTATGTGCTGATTGACATTTGGGTGGTCTGGAAAAGTGGTTTTGAAGTGACTTGAGAAAATGGCAGTGATAAAAACTAAGATACTTACTTTCATACTTGACTTATGTCCAGCAGCAGCTATCTTGAATGGAGCAGCCCTAAATCTGGGAGGAAATGTTCTCTGGACATGTACTTCATAATTTGCCTTTGCCCACAAAACACCTTAAATGTTAGCTGTGAACTGCAAATATGCTGCCTTTGGTGATATTCAGAGGTGGTTATAGCTTTACCTGACCTTCAATCCTAATGGTCATATCCCTTCTTTAATTTTCTCTAGACAGCAAGCTTGTCTCATCCTGAGCATTCATCTTTGGTTGCCTTGTTTGTTTTTTCAGTGCTGCTATTTCTATGTGCAGAATTGAGTTTGGGATGACATTTGTAGGAGATACTTTAGGACAATAGATTGCTCTCGATTTTGGCCTTTTTGACCATTGCTTGGTGTTGCAGGTAGCTGGACTGATGCTATCCTCAAATGGATACTAGCTTTTTGCGAGCACATGCATTTCTTTTAACGAAGTTAATTGTAGTTATAGCTGCTAAAATTCTACTTCTTTTGCGTAGCTGCTGAGTCAAGCTTGAAGCCCTTTGAAACTCTGAGATCTGAGTTGATTTTTAAATCATTTAAAATGCACCAAGGACCTGTACTCTTGCTGTTATAAGGAGGAATAAAAGCTTAATTTTTATTTTTAAGAAGGCAATTTGTGTAGTAATGTTGCCATCTCTTACAGGGGCTATGTGCTAAGTAATGTGCAATTACTTCTGGCAGCATGGGATTACTGGTGTAATACCACTTCTCATATATTAATGGTTTTATGATTACTGAAATGATACTTCCAATCCCAAATGTATCCAGTGGAGCTGGATATATTTAGTCAAAGTTTTCAGGTTCTCTACAGGAAAGAATGAAGTGTCTAAGTGAAAATGTAGTCTTTGGAGATAGTACTTAGAAGGAACATTTTCTCTGTGTGTTATACATTAATCTCTATTTTCACTAGCTTTTTATTAAGAATTTCTTGGGAGAAAAGACTGCAAAATCCAAATCATCATAATAAAATATGAAGAGAATTAAAGGTAGGAGCTGCAGCAGGTTCCCATGCTCAGTGATGGAGTTTTCTCCTGGGTTGCTTCCATTAATGCTAGTGGAAATTGAAGATTTTATTGTATTTTTATTATATTTCATGTTATCAGTTGTATCTAGGAAGGTGCAAAAC